ATTTCAATGAATTTTCAACAGACTGGCGCATGCGCACGCCAAACGGCCCCTTGTTCTCTCAAGTCTCTCTTTCTAAATTCCATGCGTTTTCTCGGGCTATCAATGAAACAAAAGAATATGTTGCAGGGGCGGATCCAGCATTTTATAGAGGGGGGGTGCTTTTGTCAGTAATATGCAGCTAAAASCTAAGTATAGCAGATGGAACTGATCATATTTGTTAGCTGGGTATTGTCTAGAGCAAGAAAAGTATGCACAATTTGACCGAAAGGAAATTGACTTATATTAAACMGCATATTGGCAGACATATGTTATGTATGCTACTCATTTTCTCGATAAAAGTACTACAGTGGTATAAACAGCAAAAAGTAAACGTTTTTTTGATATATAAAAAAATTACGTCGTCCCAAAAAGGGGGGTGCGTGCAAAAGCACCTCCCCTGGATCCGCCCCTGTGTTGCTTGGTTTTGAGGCCTGACACAGAGTAAAACAGAACTCTAAATCGGAGTATTTTCAACATTTCTTCAGACGTTTCGGTCTTCTAGCACAGACCCTCAGTACTAAACCTTTACAAAATAWAAGACCGTSGTCCTATATTTTACCATACAGACCGAGCAAACGAGGTCAAACAAACTTTTTTTCTACAACGGAAAGGAAAATGGAAACGGCGCGCGAATATCAATTGGTCTACGTAATTATCGATTGGTTCAACTGAAGCAAGGAAAGCGCATGGAATGATGGAATCAAACTGTCAAAATTGTGGGCGCTTTCCTCTTAACAAAATTCCGAGAATTTTGGTCGGAAATCAAATGGAAAGCGGCATTTTCCGGAAAAGATTTTCGAAAATATTTGCCAGCTATTTATGTTACAATTTAAAAATGAATTACTATCCATGTCAACGATGAACAATTATTTTAAATGTCTCGAAAGATACTTTAAAATTCGTGGGAAAGCAATAATCGTGGGTCGTTCGTCTAAAGCCACAAGTACAAAAAAGGAAAAAAGATGGAACTCCTTACTCAAAAAACACTATGCACTCGATACGATATGTAATTACTCGTGACCAGGCCCTAGGCCGGGTCACGAGTCAGAAAATGCAGCGCGTATAGTTTTGT